GGCGGGGCCGGACGGGGGGCGCGGAGCCGGGGGCCGGGGGCCGGTAGTTAACGGCGGCCCCCCGGCCGCGGAGCGGGCGGGAGAGCAGGGGCATCCCGCCGGGAACGGGACCGTGCCCGGCGGGGCGGGCCCCCCGCAGCGGTGGAGGAGGAGGCCGCGCCGCAACTCCCTCACGGAGGAGGACAGCAGCCAGGAGTTCTCCACCCGCAGCCGCTTCCTCTACTATCTGTTCAGCCTGGGCACGGAGCTGGGCAACGAGCTCTTCTACATCCTCTTCTTCCCTTTCTGCATCTGGAACTTGGACGCCTGGCTGGGCCGGAGGCTCATCATCATCTGGGTGTGGGTGATGTACCTGGGGCAGTGCACCAAGGATGTCATCCGCTGGCCGCGGCCTGCCTCCCCGCCCGTGGTGAAGCTGGAGGTCTTCTACAACTCCGAGTACAGCATGCCCTCCACCCACGCCATGTCGGGCACCGCCATCCCCCTGGCCCTCCTGCTGCTCAGCTACGGCCGCTGGCAGGTAACGCTCCCCTCCTTGTCCTTCATCTGCTTTCCGGCTCCGGGGTGGACGGCTGTGACAGACTTGATTTGTTTTGAGGGGAGAGAGGGGCTGAGTTTGAGTAGCATATGAAATTCGTGCCTTTCTTCCTCGCCCCCCCCCCTTTTTTTTGTTTTTTATTTTTCTATGATCCAAGCGAGTGCTCAGGTAACAAGAACTGCTCTAATAATTCTGAGTGGAAGTACTGCTGACTTTATGAATGGTTAGCCAAGTACACATTAAACGTCTGCTTTAACAATGTGTGTTTTGTTCTTGTGAGGTTTTTTTTTCAACTTATTTCTTGTAGGGTGAGTGCTTTGCACAAAGTTTGCATGGGCATCTGATATTTTTACAGGCATTCTGTTTTACTGAGTGAGAATTTGGTGGAGAGCCAGCAACTAAAGGGCTTTTTGCTGATCCTTCTTTGCTTTGAGTCACTTTGTAGTTTGAGTCAGTTTGTAGCTTTAGCTTTTTCTTTAACGCTGTCTTTCAGTTTTATTACCCATAAACTGGAAATTATTATTTCTGTTTTGAGGAGTACATATCCTTTCAGCTGGTCTTACAACCCTTAATGTGCTAATAATAAGCAGGAAGTGATAAGCTCTGATCTTTCAGCACCTTCATTCAGCAAAATCTTAAGATCTGCCTGTTGCACTTTGGGTCAGTAGATTAAGTTGAAATAACACTGTTCCTCGGGTTTACACAGGCTCTGTTGCAAGTGCTTCGGCGCTTGCCATTAGTAGTATGGGCAACAGTAAGAACTCCAAAGAAAGCACAACACGTATTCAGCACACTAAATCACTGCACCAATTTCAGTAGTAAATGAGGGAGAAGGCTTTCCCAGGCAACATGTTCAGTGTAGGGTTTTGAGGGCTCTGTGTGTAATGTTCAAAAAGTTACACAATAAGTCTACTCTTAAGTTGTTAATGTTTACAAATTCTTGCTATAATACCTCCCTGTTTTGTCAGATGTATGTCATCTTGGTAGAGGGGACTCTCTTTTTAAGCTTTATGCAGGGGCCGAACCAGTTGCTGTTAACAATCAACAATTGTCTGCTGTCATAGTGTGACACTTCGTGGCATTATCTCAGCATATAGTATGGGTGCCTGAAAGGAAAGAAATAGTTGAAGGTTAGTGATTGTGTTTGGCCTCTCTTTAACCAAAGTTTATGTATCTACTTCTGCAAGGTGATGCAGCGTGCCCAGAAGAAAGCTCTTGGGGATTCATATCCTTTGCTAGGAAAATGTGAAGTATCACTCTGCTAGAGGTGTGCAGGCATCAGATGACGTCATGTTTTATGGGTGTTTGAAATAAATATTTGGAGTTCTGTCACTGAGATGCTTAATCTTAAAATTGTTGGGTTTTTGGTTTTTTTAATGACTGACTGCAATCTGAATATTTAATTATTACTTGTTAAATGTGTGGGGCTGATGTTGAAGAATGAACTGGATTTCTCTTTCTTTGCATGTGGGAAACCTCAGTTAGTAGTATCAGTCGATTAGCTTTGCACAGACTGATGTCATGTAGCACAAAGGAGAACCCAGCTTGATTGCTTTTATAGAACCAGCAAACTGACAATGTGTGAAATGGTATTTTTGCCAGTGAACCAAGTTCAATCTTCGGTTTGCCAACCCTGCAAACACACTCTGTGAAATACTGTGCTAATTGACTTAAACATATTTATAATGAATGCATATTAAGAAATCATAAACATTCAGCCTTGTTATTATTCACTTAGAACCACACGTAAGAAATGAGGAAGCAAAGTGTTTGAGTCTTCATTTTAATTCCTTTTTCCTGTGAAATGAGTATGAACAACAGACCTCTCTGAAACCAACTTCTACCATTTCAAAACGTTCATTTAAAAAAAAAACAAAAACAAACCTTCTGACTTTAAAATTATTTCCAAATATTAATCAGAAGTTAACCTATGGCATTCTGAATATCTTTTGATTCACCTCTAAAGAGAGTTAAGCTTTCATCTAAGGCTTCTGCTGTACTCCATATTTTACTTGCTTTGAAAGGGAGGAGAAACTATATGACAACTTTTCATCATGCTTTTCTGAAAATAGATGGGGTTAAAAAAGACTGACCTCAGAACTTCTTGGAAAGCTATTAACGATAAAGGAGCTTGTAATAACTCTGATTTTTTTTTATCAAGTTATACATATGTTCTGGGGGAGGAGCAGCTGAAGTCACTTGGTCTGTTCAGCCTGGAGAAGAGGAGATTGAGGGAAGACCTCATCACCTTCTACAGCTTCCTCAAAAGGGGAAGAGGAGGGGCAGGCGCTGATCTCTTCTCCCTGGTGACCAATGATAGGACCCGAGGGAACGGCAGGATGATATGCCGGGGAGGTTTAGGTTGGACATTAGGAAAGGGTTCTTCACCCAGAGGGTGGTGGAGCGCTGGAACAGGCTGCCCCGGGAGGTAGTCACGGCGCCAAGCCTGACAATATTCAAGAAGCATTTGGACAACGCCCTCAGACATATGGTGTGAATTTTGGGGTTGTCCTATGCAGGGACAGGAGTTGGACTCGATGATCCTTGTGGGTCCCTTCCAACTCGGGACATTCTATGATTCTGTATTTATCAGTAGATACAGATAGTTAGATTTAAACTTGTTGGCAAATGTTAGGGTACAGTCTTTCTATATATTCAGTGTAAGCAAGTATTACACAGACCCTGATCATGATGAGTTCGCATCTTAGGGTTGTTTCTTCAGAAAAATCATAGTGGAGCAAGGCTGAGTGAATTTAAGCACAAACAGCTATAACCCTCTGCAGGGACTTTTATTCTGGAATACAGGTAACTTTAATTGAGTTTGTCACTTTGAAGTTTATACTAAACCACAGAAAGCCACTCTTGCTCTAAAAGAGGTTACTCCAGTGAGAAGGGAATCACTTTCCTGTATAGCTTATTTGGAGTTTGCTTTCATTGGGCTATGACTTCCTAGTATTGTGTCATAGTTCTTCTCTATCAAACAAAGACAATCTGAGTCTTTCCCTTGAACAACATAGAGAACAGAGCAAATCTGCTCTTATTTTTCTAGGTATGGCCCAAATTGTCCATTTAAAACCAAATATTTTTTTTAATTCCAGTAGGTTTTCTTTTAACCTGTTGAATTAAGCTTGTGCTTTCCTAGTTTTCAATGCCTATCGGTAATCCTGTTATAATTATTTTCCTTTCGCGTGGTATTCAAAAGGATTTTTGACTATATGCAGTAAAACAAAAATACTTCCTTATAAATGCAATTGTTTAAGTAAAATATTTTCAGAGATGATATCTTTTAAAGATGGTTGTGACAAACATCATAGCTTTCAGACAGAAACAACTTATATGGTAAGATAATTTTCATAATACCTAACTGTTCTGCACATTGTGGAATATAACTTTTCTATTTATCCTTGTGTTATGAGAGCTTGCCTGAAACTTTTGATTCCACTGGCATAATCTTTATATATTGATTTATTTAATATTGTTAAATCTCAGCAGGGAAAACCACGTGTTTCAAAGATACTTCAGTAACCTTGAAATACAAGGCTCACGCCAAAAGCTCATGAGAATTTAGGAGTGTTATAGATGTTGATGTATTTCTTTCCATCTTTGAAGCTCTGATACCCTGAAAGAGGAGGACAAACACTTAAAAGGCAGTGAGGTTATAGATCTTGATATGATGTAGCAAAAAGTATACCTTTATCACATTGGGGAAAACATGCTTTCTTTGAAATATTGACAGTTTGAGCCGGGCTGGCTTATATAGTGTCCTGAATGGGGAGGAAGAGAGAGTGTGAACTGCTAGTTATCTACAAAATCTCCAAAGGCCTCAGGCTGAGACTACTGGAAAAAGTCTTTTTTGTATTTTATTTGATTACTTTGAACTGCTGATTTCAAATAGATATCAACACCAATTTTATTAGAAATGGTGCTTGAGTTAGGACGGTACCTGAATGTGTCATAACCCTGCTGTTTTATTTTGGGGGGCGGGGAAACCAGTCAGTCAGGGAGACAGAAAATATGCTTTTCTCCCAGAGTTCCTCCAGGATTCAGCCTGGCGCTGGCAGTCGTTGTCTGGATTAGGAAGTGATGGGTTCGCACTCCTTCCTGAGCTCTGCATTAATGAGCTGAGTCAGGAGCTGCTGACTCTCCCTGGAGGCCACTGAACGAACTTCGTTAAGTTGATATTGAGCAGGAGCCCAGAGCCTTGATTGATGAGTAGCTGGCCTCTGTAACTACATTAACCAACGTTGTTTGAATGTGCTTATTTTCTGAAGCAGTTTAGATCACTAAATATGACAGCATTGTCCTCCCTATGTACTTGTCTGCCAATGTTTTATATGCAAATCCTTTCGTCAGCGACCGTCTTTCCACACCACTGATGATAATGGTGACCTTAATAAGCACTACTGCTAAACCCACAGTAGAGTGTATTTATTCTGTAATGGTTTATTTCACTGATACACCTAAAAATATTTTTCAGTTTTCATTTACTTTGTGCTCTCCTGACTCTCCGTAGTACCAATTGTGTAAGAATGTCATGTGGTACTGTGTCAAACACCCTTCTGGAAATCTTCCATCCGCACCATTACTTTTATCAACCAAAGCTGATGAATCTAATCAATGAGATGAGCTTGACTGGATCTGTATTGGGGTTTCAGAGAGGTCTGCATTATTCTGTGATTCTGATTGACCGCTACTAAAAATTACCTCTGGAATTGTCTGCCTGCTCTTTCATTTCAGAAGGCTAACTTCTCTCAGATCCCCACGGGGAATGGGGAATAATTGGTGTTCGGGGTTGGATGAATAGTCTAATCGCAACACTGCTATAGTGAGAATTTTACAGGGAGTGGGCAAATCCTAGTTTTAAGTGTCTGTCCTTGTTGAAAGGCTAGCATTATCAGTAAGATTGATGTAATCCTAAAACTGGAAGCTACGCATAGGAGACCATCTCTTACATACGAAGTCTATGTATAAGACCAAGTACG